GCTCAAGTAAAGAAGTAACAGAACTACAGATATAAAAGAGAAAAAGCACTTTCAAATACCCACATGCAATTTTAAGGCATGCATGCACAAACAATCAAACAATGCCTTCCTGAAGATTGAAAAACATTAATGTCTAAGAAAAATAGAGTTGGGACGCACACTTATTTGAGAGAGAGCAAATAGAGCTTTACTTCCGATCTACAGCAACCTGGTTCTATACATTTCAATTTTGAAGCACGTAATCACAGAAGACGCTTTCACAAGATGATACATTGATGTTCGTGCCTATCTGCTATAGTAATGGTGCAAAGAGATACTACTATTACTATATATCATGCCTTGAGCAGTTAAGCATAAACAAAAAAGCAATTATTGATGCAAATTCTCCAGGATCATTTAACATTAATTCCGATCCAACAAGTCGGCCAAATTTTACAAGGGATTAGAAGAAGCAATTACGCTAGCATACAATCTCTCTAATATAAGTTTCTCTCAAATCAACCGACTCAAAAGACTATACGGAATTGTGGTGCATCCGAGCCACTCGCAGGCAGGATCTCCCAACGGCAGGGCTCTAGCTCGTCCGAAACGGGGCAGCAACCGGTCACTGTGACCTTGTCGGCGGAAGCGGCAACTGACCCGAATTCGAAAACCGATAAGTCAGACGAAAGAGCGGCTCGTCGAACCTCCATCGCTCCGTTCATGCCTGGTACCTCGGATGACACAGAATCGGGTTTCGGGACGGATTTTTCCACCGGAGCATTTTCCTTTTTGTTATTATTGCTGCCTCTACTGAACCAAGAAAAAATTCCCATGGTGAATGAGTTGGGTTCTAGCGAGTAGGGTTTTTGATTATCTTCATATTCTTATCTTGACAGGCTAAATATACATGTGGTCCTTTAAGTTGCAACAAAATTTCATGTTGGTCTTTAACGTTTATTTTATTTCAAATTATTCACTAACGTTTCTCAATAGTTCCAATCTAGTCACTTACTGTTGAAATTGACATCAATCCTTTCTATTTTGGGAAGGGAAAATAGCAAATTATAATAAACAAAGTCGTCTCGAACAAATTGCGAAATGAAAAATGGACTATAATCAATCCAACGACAACTTATTGGAAAAGAAATAGCATAAGAGGTAGGATTTTTTTTGTTGATGTGATGGAGAATATGTGTTTGAAAAAGAATGAAAAGTTATTGACATAATAAAAATATCATTTTATTGAAGAATAGTTGAAAATGAGTAGAAGAATGAAAATGAAAAAAAATAATATGGCTCAAACAGGTGTTTGGAAATATTGCGGGCCAAT